GTGTAATTCTCAACATCAATTAAAGATCTAACTTTTGCTAACTAATTAGCTGGTTTCAACTTACTATTCAGCATTTGCTATAAGGAACATACCTGTTGGCTGAAACCCATATCCAGTATGCGATCAGCTTCGTCAAGAACCAATATCTGCAGCTGGTCACAATTTAAATGTTCATTTTCATCCATGTGCTGCAGGAGTCGCCCAGGAGTGCATATAATGATATTTACACCTCCGACTCTCTTTCTCTCATAGTCCACGTCAGTTCCTGGGAAATGATGGGATTTGAAAAGGAGTTTGACAAACGTAGAAAAATAAATACGATTGCTCACCTCCAATAAGCAATGCGCATGAGAATTCATGATGCTTCCCAACATTATTGATAACGGTAAATGTTTGCAACGCAAGCTCTCTTGTAGGCGAGATAATCAGAGCCCCAAGACCTCCAAAGTTGGACCATCCCGACCTCCAAAGACATTCTAGAACCTGACAATGAGGAGTTGAGAAGAGAAAATTCGCGAAAACAGAGATAAAAGCAATCTTACCGGGATGATTAGCGCAAGAGTTTTCCCACTTCCAGTTTTTGCAGCACCAACAACATCTGAGCCACTCAATGAAAAAGGCAAAGACTCCTTCTGAATATCCGTCGGCTCTTCATAATCACATTCTTCCAATCCTTGCAAGGTTCTACTTGACAAAGGTATGTCAGCAAAGTGCTTTAATGTAGAAGGATTCACCTGAAATATAGAGGAATATAAAGACCAGAAAAAAACCAGCAAACAAGCGATTCATAATCTGGGACCTACCTTCGCAAGATCTTTACACCTAGCAATAACTGACTCCAACTCTTTTTCGCTGTCTTCTTTCTTTAATTTCTTTTCCCTTCCCATTTTCTTGACACGGTGCTTCTTTTTGTACTTGTGCATATTGTTATTCGCGGTCATAAGCAGCTCACTTCTGCAAAATCCAAAGATGTTCGGAAATCAAAAGAAAATTAAGTGATATAATTTAATGAAGTCTTTGAAAAGGCTCCTCTTCAAAATCAATTTGTTTTACAGATTTAGCAAGAAGAGCGTGAAAGATCATCTCGCCTTGCAATGATTACTACTGCCTAGCAGTAGACCTTTTCTTAAAAATTACTCGATGCTTTTGTTGCTAGAAGACTTGATACGAAAGACAAAAGTGGCTTAAACCATTTGCTTTCTCTGAGCATTTCAGCATGCAAGTATAAATAAGTCATGAAACTATTT